TCGGATCTCAACGCTCACGGGGGTTCCCGATGGATTTTTCTTTTTAACAGAACAGGCAGGTGCGAAGCGATTTCTATAGTCCTCTCGTCTGTAACGGCCATGGCAACCGTCGACAGGAAAGCTGTTCATGTGGTATTCCTTCGAATCGAATATGTCTATTTAACGTTTTCCTTTTTTTCTTCTTCTTTTTTCTCTTTTTCTTTTTCCTTCTTTTTTCTTTTTCCTTCATTTCTTCATCTTCTTAAATAAACACTGCTAGTTTGGGTGCATCATCAAAACTTGCTTTTATTCTAAATTCATTTTGCGACTCTCCTCCTCGTCCCGACAACTTTTTTTCCCCGTCTAGTTCCAAAGAATGAAGTTAAATCACAAATCACGACTTATCGGGATTTCATTCGAAGATGAAACGACCATAAACTTTTTGCTCGTTTGCAAGAAAATATATATCCGTGTCTCGAAAACGAGATGAGATTTGTTTAAGATTAAAACGAATCAAAGAATTTGGAGGTTAGAATATGATTTCTTCTTTCTTTTCTTTTTCGTTTGTTTGTTTGTTTGTTTACGCGTTAACAAGAGACTTATTACTTTATAGTTATAATATTTATAATTATATCTTATCTTTTTCCTTTAATATATATGCAACGTAAGAAAACATAAGAGTAATCGATTAACATCGCTACTTCTATTCGAATCACTTTCTTCTGGACTACGCGTTTCTACTGCGTAAATCTCGGCACGTTCTTCCGCGTCGTTGGAACGAATAAGAATCAAGAGATTGGATTTTACGAAACGGCATTTAAAGTTTCGAGAATTAACTGTTTTTCAGTTAACAAATAACAAAAGAAGTAAGAAAATACGAAATTGTTTGAATCAAATAATTCCACTGCCTAAACTAAAAAATCTCATATATATATATGTATTTAGAGGTATATATCTAACTATGCACATAATGCTCCGAATTTCGTTTATTCCAAAAAATGAATGAATGAAAAAGAGGGATAGAGAAAGAGAGAGAGAGAGAGAAACTTAAAATAATGTAAAGTCAGGTGTGTATAAGGAAAACGAAGAAAAATAGTGTAGCAGCAAGGACGACGCACATCCGGCGGAAGTCGAAGGGCGTCAACTCGTGACGCCAGACACAAGGATTTAGCTTTGTACCTGGATGGTGGCAGGTGAACTACGAGAAAGAGAGGATATAACTGTACCCTTCGTAGGACTACCATCAAATTCTAGTGATGAATATACACAAATTTTTCCTTCATAGATAATCCTATATTTCCTCTTAGGAGACGATAAGGAAACTCGTTTAACATTTTGAATAATGGTACGATGACTTTTCTTCGTAATAACTCATTCATCTTTTCCCTTATTCTTCTTTGAAAAAAGAAGAAGAAAAAGGAAAAGAAAAAATATATTTAATATCTTCGTCAAAATATATCTGATAATTTTTTATTATAATAAATTTTTCAATACGAACAAAAGTAATAAAAGTAATAATTTAATTTTAATTCAATAAGATAAAAAAAAATATGATATGCTTTATATAGACGGAGAAATGTCGTGAGAAGAAAAGAGATAAAATATAAAAAGGAAAAAAAATAAAAATAAAAATGAAAATTCGCGCTTATTCTCGCTTACGGATTTCTCGCGTGAGTCATGAAAACGATGTCGAGTTCGACCTTCGAGGTCCTGGCACACACGAGCCGAACCGATACGCATGCGAAATTTCATTCACGTAAGCGTCACGTAGACTCCCTTAACGTTAAAATAACATTCCACGAATAAGGCACGATCGAGCGAGACGATGCCTGGACGAAATTTGCACAGAGTCCGTTGGCGTATGTATGTATCTCGGAATTCTCAGGCTGGGTCTTACCTGGACTGAGAATGGATTGGATAAATAGAAGGAAAGACGAATGCCGCGTGCATTCGAATTTGTAATGGCGACTGAAGATGACGATCGTTGGAGATTCACGATCGAATCGTTGGTATTATTTTATTTCGGAATGTTAAAAGAGGATATAGCGGATCGTAAGAGTTTTTTTAGATGACTTCACGAAAAAATTATAATGTTTGAGTCATAATGATTCGATTAGAATTAATAATCAAATCTGACGATTTATAAAAAAATCTGTATTCCAGGAAGTTTCAGACGAACGTCGATATAATTGATTTTTGTTCTTTGAAAATTGAAATTAACTGATTGCAAGAAAACTTTCTAGGAAATAGTGATCTTTGAGTCATAATGATATCTTTAGAATTAATGACCACACCTGATGAACCATGGAAATCTGCTTTTCATCATATACAAATTTTTTCGAGGCAAAATTGCACTTTCATCGAATCACAGGCTCGCCCCATGTAAGAAATGATGCTTATGCATCGTCCAACGATGCACGTATTTTCTTTCCCACATGCTGGAAATGGATGACACGTCTACCTTTCAAGGAACTTCCCAGGATTCCCTTTCGAACGAAGTCGACTGGCGGCTTCGTAACCGATTTTACGCGGCTAGGTAGGCGTCACTTTACTTGCCGATTTTATTGCTCTCGTAAAATTACTCTTTCATAATGTTTCTCACATCGATAGCAAATTGATCTTTTCTTTCGAACTTTTCTAACTTTTCTTTTTTCTTCCTACATACATAACGCGCTATATCTTATTAATATTTAATAAAAATTGTAATAAATCAAATTAATTAAATTAATTAAAAAGAGATTAAAAACGTGTTGAGAAAGGCCAATACAATTTAATGATTCACCGACATCAAAGAGCACGAGTATTCTTTGGCAATTAACAAGCATGAGGCTAGCGAGTCGCGTGTCGCAATTTTTCTGCGGTTGACTCGATGTGCATCCGGGTTGAAGTATCGTTCAACGAGACGCTATGCATACTAGAGTGATACAACGTAGATATGTAAACGATCTCATGTTCACAAATTTGAGTAAGGACAATTTAACATTTGGAACTTTCATTCCACGAATCTCTCTCTTTCTCTTTCTCTCTTTCTCTCTCTCTCTCTCTCTTTCTCAAGCAAGATACGTTGGGATTCCCAAGAAGAAATAATAGGGATCGTCCGATCGAAGAAATCAGAGAGAGAGATAGAGAGAGAGAAAGAGAGAGAAAGAGAGAAAGAGAAAGAAAGAGAGAGAGTGGGAGAAAGAAGGAGTAAAAGGCAAGCTCGTTAAACTCGCAACTCCTCATCGGTGAATCTTGAAGATTTACGAGCAGGATCACGAGGATTAACGAAAGCAGACAAGAGAGACTTGAAGATTTTCCATCTTTCATTCTTCTGGCAATCTCATGATGTAAAAGGGAACATCGAATTCTCTGGAAGAATCCTACTGGTCCTTCGATACGCAAGGTGCAGCAACAGCACGTTTCTCTTTCCAAGAGAAATATTCGAGCTGAGGGGGTAACAGCGATAAAAGGGACTTCTCTTTCTCTTTCTCTTGGAGTATAGAAAAAGAGGAAGAAGTAAAAGAAGAAGGCCGTACCCTTCTCGTCGCCGTGACGTCGGCGATTTTCTTCGAAAAATAAGAGGACACAGTGTCTACGTAGGTATATAGCCACGAGGCCGAGCCTTCACCTCGATCACCCTATATATATATATATATACATATTATACACATATATATAGATATATATATAGTATAGTATAAATATATATATATATATCTATAGTATATGACATATACCTATATATATGTACGAGACGTATATATAAGAGTATAGGTTGCAAAGAAGAAAGAGAGAAAGAGAAAGAGTGAAAAGAGAAGAGGGGAGCAGGCGCGAGAGATCGGTAGAAGAGGGGTCATTGGTTGTTCGCTCAACGTATGGGAATCGTTATGGACCGACTATAGTCGTTGGAATGCGTCCTTTTTTTCCTTTTTGTGTCTCCCCGGTATACCTGGCGGCGGCGGTGGCGGCGGCGGCGGTGGTGGTGGTGGTGGTGGCCGCCGCTCTCGCTTCGTGTCGGCGTCGGCGAAGCTCTTGCGGGCAATCCTGTCGGCCGGCGACCGGTAAAACCACGACTACTTATGTGTAAACGCGCGCGCATGTGTCTGTCATGTATGTGTGTACGTGTACGTACGTTATATGTAGAAGAAGGAGGATCCAACGAAAGAAGGTAAAAGAAGAGATGGGGGAGGGTGTACGAGAAACGAAGGAGCAATGTGCGCGAGCTTACGCGAGAAAGTACGAAGATTCACGAACCGACAATATTGCCAACTCGCGCCAACTTGAGAAAGAAAGAAAAAGAAATATATATATATAATATAGAGAGAGAGAGAGAGAGAGGGAAAGGAAAAGGAAAAAAAACGTCTTTGTTTTCTATGAAAATCCATCAATACGATTTATTAACGTGAACAAATATAGTAATAAAATATTGAAAACGTTTTTTTCTATAATAATCCTTTATATTTGCCGAATAGAAAGAAGTGATACGATTTATTATTAAATAGGTTGTTGAAAATGAAAGAGAGAGAGTGGGAGGCAGGGATGGATCAGAGATTAAGAAAACAAAAAAAAAACAAAAAAAGGGAGAGAAAAAGAAGAACAAAGCGACAAAGAAGAATCCGCAAAACGGGCAACGAGCGAAACCGAATTCACGGCGTGGCGAGAAAAAGAAGGACGATCGTAGCGAGGAGAGAAGAGACGTAGGTAGTGGAAGGACAGGTACGAGACGTAGTTTGCGCGCCTGCATACGCTTCTCCGGAGAACACAGAGAAAACGAGAGAGAGAGAGAGAGAGAAAGCGAAAAAGAGAGAGAGGGATAGAAGGAAGGAGAGAGAGAAACTTTTTTCTCGTGGTAGAACGGTCGACGGTTTCGATGACGTCATGCGCCGTCGAGATTTGAACGAGCCAATCACCGTCGTCGGTCCGACACCGACGATCATCCAGAGTAGGGAAGAAACCTGTCGATTGGTGGGGGTCTCGGCGAGTATGGAGGGAGGGGAGGTCCGCGAAAGGTGCGTGCGGCCCCAGACGTGGGGCGCGGGGCCAGTTGATCAGTGAGTGCGGTAGTGATCTCATCTCGTACCGCGCCAGGTGTAAACTCTTCTCTTCTCTTCTCTCTTCTCTCTTCTCTTTTCTTCTCTCTTCTCTTCTCTTCTCTTTTCTCTTTTCTCCTCTCTTCTTTTCTCATCTCTTCTCTGATTTTCCTTCTTCCTTCTTCCTTCATATTCTAATCCACGAATATTCTCTCATTCTTTGTGCTTTTGCTTGAAAAGGAAGAAAGAAGCCTGGTTAAAGGACTTTAACGATTTATCTATCGAAAATGGTATGGATCATCATAGATCTCATAACCGATCGAAACATCTCATGCAGATTTTCTTCGCTCATCCTTAATCTTTCTACGTATATATGTAAGTTGAGAAATTTTGTTTTTCTTTTTTCTTTCTTTCTTTTTTTTTTTTATTCTTTTTTTGTTCTTCTTTCATATTATAACTTGTTCAATGATCTTTTGAACGAATAAATCGATCTATCATTTTAATTTGATGTAATGTCGATGGAAAGACGATAGAAAGAATTTTTAACTGGGAATAGAATTGTTGATTTATTCTAAATTATAAATATTCATTTTGTAAGGAGGAGAGAAACACGCTTGGAACATTCTCGAGGTCTTTGATCAGGACGAAGCACAAGGTCGTGGCATCTACGCGAGAAGAACTTACCTTTGCCATTTTTCTTTTTCTTTTTCTCTTTTTTATTTTTTTTTTTTTCTTCATAATCCCTGTTCTTCTCTGTCTTCTTTTCTTTTTTCTTTTTTTCTGCAATTTTAACTCAACATTATATTATAAATTTCTTGCTGCCTTATTTTCTTTAATTTCTTTAATGTTTTTATCGATAATCAATTAAATTTTCAAAAAAGATAGGAAAGAGAAAAAGTACGAAAATTTCAACCTCCAACGAAATATCAGATTGAATGGTTATCGTTATCGATTGAGATTAGAAATTTCCGTTAACATTTTTTTACAAGATAAAAGATGCGATTCGACGATTCCTTGCGTGGTAAAAGATTAAATTAGTCCGCGTATTTTATATCAGATCGATATATCTTTAACTTCGAATTATTCTTTATCCATAGTTATTTTGGTTTGTTTGTTCCTTTCAACTTTTAAGTTAAGTTTTCGAAGGAATAAACATTAACTGATTTAGATGAGAATCCTGTACCAAGAACAGTGAAATATAGTATTCTCGTTATCTCGACATTGATTCCATGCTGTTTTTGCCGACTTAGCACAACGTTCGCACTCTCGGTTTGATCTTGAAACCTTTTTTTTCTTTCCTTTTTCTTTTCTTTTTCTTTTCTTTTTTATTTTTCATTTTTTCTTTTTCATTTTTTTCTTTCGTTATATTCAATTTTTCTTAGATCTTAAGAATGTTAATTGCTTTAATTATTTTCTTTTCGATGATCACACAAAATTTTCAAAATAGCGTGTATAAAAAATTTCGCAAAAAAAAGAATAAAAAAGAAGGAAAAAAAAAATTCGATACGAAAACGTGAACGTTTAGCATTTTCTCAGATGACTATTAGTCATCGTCGAGTTCTAATCCACGACTAATTTGCAAGTCGGTTATATAGTTTATGAACATATTTTAAGTCACGTTCGTATTATGTATAAGTTTATTCGTCCATAACGCTAATCAATGCATCTACTTACATTTCAATTTATTTATTTATGTGTATACATCGAAAATTCACACGCTTAGGGCATGATACATGTACAATATATATATATACCTAACTATTCGTAATATCTTCCTACGTTTTCTCATGAAAGTAAGGAGGAACCTCACTCAAACAGGACGGACAAAGCCAACCGTTTCGCTACGGTCCTGACTATTACATACGTACATCCATACATACACGCTCATTTATTTCTCCGCTTCGACCCTGTTAATATCACGTACGATCTCCGTTCTGCCAGTGAATGCGTTTCAGCTTTATAGTTTACGGGTTCACGGTAGGGCGAGCGAACCCACGGTGCGTTCCTGACACAGAAACTTGCCACGAAATTTTACCTAAGAAATTAGTTGAATACTTTTTTTTCTTAACTACTTTAAGAAAGAAAAAAAAAGATATTTGCATTATTCGAAACTTGACCTTGAACAATAAAATTGAACGATTAGTTAGATGTTTACCAAATCAGCACGTACTTCGTCTGATTCTATATTTCAAGGTCATTTACGAAAATCCATAAATTTTTTTATGACTTTTCTTTCCTCTTTCTTTTTAAGTAAGATAAGTTCTTTGTATTTGATCCATCAAGTATGTCCCATATCAACTTAATGACGGTTTCTTCTACCTGGTTCGTTTCATTTTTACATATGCTGATATTCTTTTGTATAAAATTAAAGTCAAGTAGTAAAGCAATTTCTTAAGCATGCTTTTCGTTTTTTTTTTTTTTGCTTTTTTTCTTTTTTTTTTCTCTTTCTCCAACTAGCACGCTTGATACATGTGCGAGATTTAATGTATTTACGTTACGTGTTGAAATGAGATGCTTAGCTTGGCTTCCCTTGCTTATTTTCTTGCTTGCTTGCTTCGTATCTATTTGCTTCATTCACTTTTAAATGTTACATGTTAAGCGCGTGTAACAACGAAAAATGTAAATTTTGGTAATGCTAAAAAATATATTCTTTCGGACAATTTATCGTGGACCTTGAAATTTCTCTAAAACGTTATGTTTTTTGATGTTCCAATCGATCTTATCTCATTCGGAATAATATTAGAATACGCATTCGACGTATATTGAAATATCCGAATTTCAATTCGATGATACAAATTTCCCGCCTTTCGAGGGAGAATTATAATTATTCTTATTCGGTAATAATATCTCGAAATCGATAATAACAATAAACGAAAGTACTTTTCTTCGTACTATCTCGACAACGATGATGCAGCTGTGTTTGCATAAATGTCGATGATATGATATAGTATTCTCGAAATAAAAAAGAAGATATATATATACCGAAATGACTATATCTTCTTTCGAATCAACCTTTTCATTTTCTTTTTTCTCTTCTTTTTTTTTGTGAATATAAAAGCTACTTTTCGATTGTTGTTAAAATTTTAACAAATTTGAACGATTTTTATTATCAAAAGCCTATTATATATTTTAATATTTTCTAATCAATAAAGTTAACGTTTTCATATTATAATTTTTCATTATATTTTTAGGTTAGATTTCTTTTATATCATCTTCCTCTGCCCTCTCTTTCGTATCTTATTTTGGGACTTATCGTATCTTATATCGAGACCTATCCTGATAATGGCAACATGTTTTAAGCCGCCGATTTTTCATCGTGGAAAGACCAAAAACCACGAAATTAGCGAATCACCCGCACATAGCTAGTATTTTTGTCAATTATCGCGATCAACAAGTGTGTTGAAGCTTATATGTATATATATATATATATATACACATACACACACACACATATATATATATACTCTTAACTTAGTGATTGCTGACGACTTGATCAGTTACGACCTGGTCGACAGTGTGTAATGGCTCTTAAAGTTAGTTATAACACAACGTTGGTAGACAAATGAACGAATCGAAGGTCGACTTATCGCAAGAGAAAGAGATAGATATTTACCTGTGTTTACCGTAGGTACGTGACGCGTACGATTTCACGGTTTGGATAAGATGGCCGGCGTGTCAATAAGAGAGAGACCAGAATGTCGTTTCGTGCGCTTCCTCGTGTCCGCGTACCTGAGAAAAAAGGGAAAACATCGTGTAAAAATCACAGATGTGTGTTGTGTATGTGTGTGTGTGTGTGTGTATATATGTGTGTACGTTCAAGCAAAGCCGCCATTTCTTCATCACTTTTCAAGCTCGTTCACTTTTACTTCGAGAAGATATTTTTAATATATATCAAATTTTTATTGTTATTTATATATAATGTTAATTAATTACAAAAAGAAATAAAAAATTGTTGAGAGTCGATAATTAATATATATATGTATTATTTTGTCGGTAACGAACGTAATAATTTTTTTATGTTAGTAACTAACTTATTACGAGAAATTATTATAAAATAATTGTTTATCGAGCTTATAGGACAAATGTAAATTTTAAATGATTATTTACCGAGTTCTTATACGTTTGTTAATTTTCTATAACGATCTTAAAAAATCAAGCGTGTTCCTTTCGAAAACAGAAAGTTTTTGATATGTGTGTGTGTGAGTGAGAGAGAAAGAGAGAGAGAGCGAGTGGATTGGAAAATAAAATAAGATCCGGACACGCGCGAGCAATATGGCCAGATCATAACTTTCTCCAAATGGAGGTTCTTACGAAACTCCTATACTGGTTTACAATCGACTCGACCCACTCTACTAAGAGAAGAAATTTTTTAATCTGTATTACGAAAATACCATTAATCGATAATTATACTTCGTCAAGTTAGATGTTGTGAGTAAATTAGTTTGTAACTTTAAAGGAATGTTTGATATTTTTCCTTCTTTTTTTTTTTCCCCCATTTTTTTTTTTTTCATTTTTTTACATTTTTTTTTTTTCATTTTTGTTTTTATTATCTTTATTTTTTTTATTTGTTTTTAAATTTATAAAGCAATTAATCTTAGGAAAAAGAATACATTTTGTCGTTACTCATGCTTATATTGCATATTCTGTTCCAGGAATCAATTGGCGCCATATCTAAAGTGACGCATTTTCCGATAATTTGAATACATTCATTTTAACGTGGAATTATAGATGATACTTGCAAAGATATGGTTTACAATCCTAGCTCCTTCTAAGAGAAATAATTATATCGTCTAATTGCACTCATTAATTAACTTCCATTAACAAGTTTCGTAACAATATGCTACTAAAATAACGATTCAGCTCAACTCATATTATTATTCGTCTTGCTTAACATAACTTTTAAAATATTAATTAATTAATAATTAATTAATTAATTATCATAAATGTTTGCAGTAATTTGCAAAATGAAATTTCTACTAAATTTTATATTGCGTTTTAGTAAATATCACTACTTTTTTTTCGATTTCTTTCGTTTCTCAATGAAAAATTATTTTTCTAGCCTAAAAATTTATCTCGTGTAACAATTTTCAGATACTAGTTTATGAGATTATACCGGCTTGGACCTTGTCTTTCTCTCTCTCTCTCTCTTTCTCTCTTTCTCTCTCTTTCTCTCTTTTTCTCTCTCTCTCTCTCTCTAAGCCACGGATTAACTTTCACTCTGAAATGTCAACGACTGTGTTTCACTTTTCACAGACACCCGACGTGCATATCAATCAATTCATGCAGTACGACAAAGGAACGATTGTTATAAAACGATTTACAATTTCTCTCTTATCTATTTCCTTTTCTGTTGCAGAAAGAAAGAAAAAAGAAAAAGAGAAGGACGAAGAAAAGAATTCGAATACAATACGAAAATATTTTTTATTTGCCTACGACGCGGAAGAGAAGCTGTCACTTATTCCGATGCAAAATCGACGAGTCATCGATAATGACAACATATGAAAATAATTTATATCGAATAGAACTTATCGAAACCGGTACAAACGATACGAAAATATTAAATAAAATTCGCCTATCGTAAAATAATATTAACGAGTTTAGTTAATGAAAAGATAAAAAAAAAGAAAACGATACTAATTATTATAACGCAAATAATATGAAAGTTGATTTAGTTTGATTATATTTTTGAGGAAGAAAGAAGAACAAAAAAAATATATTTTTCTGATGACACCCAAAGGATGAGAAGATCCTGGTGCGGACATTTTCTTTGGTTATCTAGCTGTATGAGTTTTGTTCGACATCATAAAGCTAGGTTACCGGAGTTAAGCTCCTCGCCATATCAACTTCAGCGATCTTCCTTCCCCCTTACGTGCCTCTACGCTTCAGTGAAATTAAAGTACCGAGACTGCGAACGTTGTTACACCTGACATCCTGAACATCGCCGTGATAGCACACTCCAACCGAAAATTCTCAAAACGTTCGAAGACATTCGATTGTGAGAATTTATGATTACGATGTTTTCTTTCTTCTTTTTTTGAGGTTATAAAGTACTTAAGAATCTTAGTATATATGCTTTTATTATAACAAACAAAATAATTAAATTAGATCTATAATTGATAGAATAATTTAAAAATTAATTGTAACTAAATAATGTAACGTAATCTAAATGAAGATTGAAATATTTCGAAAAACATATTTTATAGAATAATCAATAGTTATAACTAAGTAATGTAACATAACCTAAAATGAATACTAACAGAGAAAAAAAGAAAAAAATAGAAATATTCAGATATTTATTCAATAAAATAATTATAATCAGTAAGTATAATTAAATAATATAACATAATCTAAATTAATATTGAAACATTTAGCGATGTGTAATATAATTACCAACAAATAAATCAATTCTGTTCTTCAATTTTTCCCATTTCGTTGGAAGTCAAATGATATTGGAAAACTTCAGCTATTTGTATTACAATGAGAAAAGGTTTTACGAAGAGAGAGAGAGAGAGAGAGAGAGAGAGAGAGAGAGAGAGAGGGGGGGAGAGAGAGAGAGAGAAAAAGGTAAGTGACACCGAGTTAACAATTGGATACCAAAAGAAAACGTTTCTATCGTTACTTCGAACTTTTCTGTATTCCCTTCGCACGTGAACCTACGGTTGAAGCATCTATAATTATTATTGTTCTAAGTGTTGTCAATGCGTGACATAAATACGTTAAAAGAGATAGAAGAATTCCATTTTTCAAAATCATTCGTATATGTGTATATGTATATATATGTAATATGTAAATTTAATTAGTTCATATATATTTCATCGACGAATTAATTTGAAATTATTTTCGTCTTTTGATTTTTCCCGCTATTTTTGTTACTTTTATAAAGATTCATGGAACAGTATAACCAATTTTTACCGAGAATAGAATAATTTATTTCGACAAAGGCTCGTTTCGACGATGAACGTCTTTAAGGTTTCGGAAATATACATACATACACACATAGACTCGACACGGTACGTGACGACGTTAGTTTCCCACAATAAAGGTGTTCGGAATGTGTGTTCACTGATTATCCTCCTTCACGCACGTATATGAGCATCCGCGGGAATGGAATTTTTTTAGAATAACGTTCAAGAAACGTTGGTATTTATTCATTTTTAAGAAAAACATTTCTCTTTTCAAATAATAATACTTCTTGTTCTAATCAAATAATTCGATTACGTTTGAATTTTATTTTTCGTACATAACCCTAATTTTTATCACTTCATAATATTAGAAGCATAAGGAGTTATTTTTTTTATAATTTATATTTATAACGAGGAATAATATTAAATAAAAAGAGACATAAAACGTTATAAACGTCGTACATTATTTGTAATTTCTAATAGATATAAAACGATAGTCACGATAAATAATACATGTGTTGCAACCTACGGAAAATGTTTTTTTATTAGCAAGTCATGACACATCAATAGGGGACGCCACATTCCGACGTCTGCTGGAATTATGTATCGACCGAGGTAGCATGCTTTTTATAAGTTCATGACCTAATGCCAATACAATAGAAAATATAATAGTCATTAATTACGTCAGCAACTTTAAATGTATCGATAATCGTGAATTATAATTTCGATTATTAAGAATCGATAATTTTCGTTCGATTTTTACTTAATCATCTTATTGTTTATTAATTTAATTTTTGTTTTGAAGCTCGATAATTGTTCCTACAAAAATTGTAGAAACAATACAAAACAATACAATGTGTAATACACGAATAAATAATTATAAAATCTTATTTATTGTAACAAGCGCAGGCGCGCCATGTGCTAAAATGTATTTTGTTCGTTTTTCTTAATAAAAAAACAATCGCGTATCAATAAATTTAAACAATATGAATTAATATAAAAAATGATAGATCTGTATGATAGAATAATTGTTATTTTCATAAAAAAAATGATTGAAAATATCGAAATAAAATATTATATGTTTGATAATGGTTCAACAATGTCTTCTAAAAGCAAAGTCGTTTTCGTTCACAAATGTCGGAAGTACTGCTCGAATAGAATGGAAACTATATAGATCTTTTTTCTTTTACAGGAATAATAAATGATAGTGTTATCGTAAGCAAATAATATAATTATTCATATGGTGTTAGATAATATTCGATTGGAACATGCATAGAAAATAAATTGGAAAGGCGTATTGTTAAAATAGATGTTTTACCGGAAGTTAAGTATATGGAGAGGTCTCGAATCTTCTAGAATGTTCTAGAATATTCCAGAATACAACGAGGGTATATAAAACGGTACCCTTACCCGAGCAGCCATTCGTTTTGCTCGCTTGAGTCGATCCTGTGCTATCGTTTTACGAAGTTTCTTCTATCAAGTTTATTAACAAGGTATTGAATTTTTTTATATTAAATATAACGAGAAAATTTGTAATCATTGTATCTTCTTTTTTTTCTTGTTATAATAATCTTTTTCATAATTACTATGAAATTCAAATATTGACTTGCCAAACGCTTCTTAACGTGAACGGTTCATTTTAGTTTTTTATTTAACTCGAAATCGAAGGAAAAATGTTTGCCCTTTTCTTTTAATCCATTTTTAAATCAAAAAATAACATATCTCGTTCAATATAAAAAGAAATTATTTTGGTTATTTTATTAATTAAATTAAATTATTTAATTTTTCGCGTCAGTCACATGTTTCAATGTATAAGAATATATAATTAATGTTATTTTATTTCATATTATTAATTTTCTTTGTTTCTTTAAATTTGTATTAATAATTATTTTATTAATTTTAGATGGCAGAACAAATGGAAACTGACGGAGAATTAGAAACTTTTGCTTTCCAAGCAGAGATTGCACAGCTTATGTCTCTGATTATTAACACATTTTATTCGAATAAGGAAATTTTCTTAAGAGAACTTATTTCAAATTCTAGTGATGCTCTCGATAAAATTCGTTACGAATCTCTAACAGACCCATCTAAACTGGACAGTGGTAAAGAATTATATATCAAAATCATTCCAAATGAAAATGATGGAACTCTGACTATTATTGATACTGGAATTGGTATGACCAAAGCTGATTTAGTTAATAACCTTGGTACGATTGCTAAATCCGGTACCAAAGCATTCATGGAAGCTCTTCAAGCTGGAGCTGATATTTCTATGATCGGTCAATTTGGTGTTGGTTTTTATTCTGCTTACTTAGTAGCGGATAAGGTAACTGTTGTTTCTAAGAGCAATGATGACGAACAGTACTTATGGGAATCTAGTGCTGGAGGTTCATTTACTGTTAGACGCGATACTGGAGAACCTTTAGGACGTGGTACAAAGATTATCCTTCATATAAAGGAAGATCAATCTGAGTACCTCAAAGAACTTAAAATCAAGGAAATTGTAAAGAAACACTCTCAATTCATTGGCTATCCCATTAAATTAGTTGTACAGAAGGAACGTGAAAAAGAATTGAGTGAAGATGAGGATGAAGTTGAGGAAGAAAAGAAAGAAGATGAAGAAGGAAAACCAAAGATTGAAGATGTAGGTGAAGATAAGGAAGAGGAAGATAAAGAAAAGAAAAAGAAAAAGAAGACTATAAAAGAAAAATACTCCGAAGATGAGGAATTGAACAAAACTAAACCAATATGGACACGTAACGCGGATGACATTGCACAGGAGGAATACGGAGAATTTTATAAGTCATTAACTAATGATTGGGAAGATCATCTAGCTGTCAAACATTTCTCCGTGGAAGGACAATTAGAATTCAGGGCATTGCTCTTTGTTCCTCGCCGTATGCCATTTGACTTATTTGAAAATAAGAAAAGAAAGAACAACATCAAGTTATATGTACGCAGAGTATTTATAATGGATAATTGCGAAGAATTAATCCCCGAGTACCTGAATTTCATTAAGGGTGTAGTTGATAGTGAAGATTTGCCATTAAATATCTCTCGTGAGATGTTACAGCAAAACAAAATTCTTAAGGTTATTAGAAAGAACCTTGTTAAGAAATGTCTAGAACTTTTTGAAGAATTAACGGAAGACAAAGATTCTTATAAGAAGTTCTATGAACAATTTAGCAAGAACATTAAATTAGGTATTCATGAAGATAGTACCAATCGCAGCAAATTAGCAGATTTATTGAGGTATCATACTTCTGCATCTGGAGATGAAGCTTGCTCTCTAAAGGATTATGTTGGTAGGATGAAAGAGAACCAAAAACATATCTACTTTATTACTGGAGAAAGCAAAGACCAAGTTGCAAATAGTTCTTTCGTAGAACGTGTCAAAAAACGTGGCTTTGAAGTAGTATATATGACAGAGCCTATTGATGAATATGTTGTCCAACAATTGAAGGAATTTGATGGAAAACAGCTGGTATCTGTAACTAAGGAAGGTCTAGAACTTCCAGAAGACGAAGAGGAGAAGAAAAAAAGAGAGGAGGATAAAGCTAAGTTTGAAAACTTATGCAAAGTTATGAAGACCATTCTTGATAATAAAGTAGAAAAAGTTGTGGTATCGAACAGATTGGTTGATTCTCCATGCTGTATTGTTACGTCTCAGTATGGTTGGACCGCTAATATGGAAAGGATAATGAAGGCGCAAGCGCTTCGCGATACTTCAACCATGGGATATATGGCTGCGAAGAAACATCTGGAAATTAATCCAGATCATTCAATCATTGAAACTTTACGTCAAAAGGCTGAAGCTGACAAAAATGATAAAGCTGTAAAAGATCTGGTTATACTTTTATTTGAAACTGCGTTGCTTTCATCTGGTTTTACATTAGATGAGCCACAGGTGCATGCTTCTAGAATTTATAGAATGATTAAGCTAGGTCTTGGCATTGATGAAGATGACTCAATGCAAGAAGAACAGAAAATAGTGGATGAAGTAGTCCCTCAAGTAGAAAGTAATGAAGCAGAGGATGCATCCCGAATGGAAGAAGTTGATTAAATATAAAACACGATATATGACATATGTCATTGTTATAGAAAGACTGTTCGAATCAAAGAGAAATCTTATTATCCCTCTTTGATCCATTTACCACGTTTTATGTGGTCACTTACACCAGACATCTTTTTTTGTAACATACTTTTGTCACTTAATTTATCATTCCTCTCTTATGTATGTTAAGTTAAAAATAATAAAATTACCAACGAAATAAACCCTCATGTATTTTCTATCTATTCATTGTTTCTTTTTTTTTTTTTTAAGTTAAAAAGTATAGTTAAATTCATTCATTTAAAATTATTAGTTATTTAAATACATTGTTATGTTAACATTACTTATTGTTTTTAATTACATTTTAACACTACTTATTGTTTTTAATAATATTTTTAATTGAGTTTCTTTTACAACTAATTGATAATAGTGTAAAGATTAAAAATTTTACTTTGTTTTAATTTCTTTTGGCGTAAAAGACATTAAACTTTACATTAAAGTAACATGAAAAATTTAAAATAAGACAGACCATTTTAGAGAATTTAGATAATAAAAATTCTACAACAATTATAAATACGAATATTTATTTAGAAATAGAGGTGAAATGAATGGGAAAATAAATTTGATATGAAAATCATTATAGGCTGTAACATAAATAACAAAGAAGTGAAAGTTCGAACTTTGTTAGGTTATGAAGCCATTCTTTTATTATATTTTGTCAAATCAATATCGTAACCAAGGTCATGCAATTTAATAAATAATTATTTTGATTAATTTACATTTATTTAAACTATTTGTAATAATTCTTTCGATTATTTAACAATTATTTAAGATAAACATTATAAAGTATTCCATTAGTTATTAATGATTAGATAAAAATAACTTATGATAATTAAGTTAGTATAATTGTTAAACAATAGTTCAATTGTTTAAATACTTCATAGCTATTATTGCACGTTGGATATGAAGTAATTTTTATTCAAGTTTTTTTTGTACATTGAAATTTTAATTTTACATTGTTGGCCAGTATTGTAACATAGAACACATAAGTAATTTTAACAGTTGCTAGTCAATTTTTTATTCAATTTGAAAAAATGGATATCGTTGGCTACAATTAATAAATGAAATTTTATGTATATATATAAATTGAATCTTTGAAAACATTAACCTTCGAATGGTGAGACTCTGGTAATCGATATTATTTCTAGTATAATATATATCACGTATATAAGGAATAACAAAACATTGTTACATGTAATCCTGATCATGAATTAGTTTTTATGCAAATGGCCCATAATAATTAACTATCTTTTTCTTTGTTTGCCTTCTTACAAGATATATATTAAATTGTAAATAATATCAAACTAATATCTGCTTCAAATAACTAGAGCATTAGAAAGCATTAGAAAAGTCATTAGTTCTTAGTTGTTTTCCTTCTTACTTACTCATTTTTTTCATTGTTTCCTCTCTTTGTTGATGTTTTTTGTGTTTAAGAAAGATATCTATAACTACATAGATCTATTTATGATACAGTTGTAGTTTGGCAATATATATATATATATATAAATTAGATGGTTTTATGAAATGTTTATAATTTATATTATGAAAGTTAATTATAAGAATTAATACAAAAATTCTTTAATTTTAGATTTTAATAATAAAAGACATTTAGTTATAAATAGTTATTAATGAGTATTTATTTATAAATAATTATTAAGTTATTAAATTGTAAATATACTATAAATTATAATCTATTATGAATATTAGTATGAGTTATTAATATGAATTTCAATTCATCGATTATTGGGTTATTAATTAAATAGAACATTGACTTAGATTTTCATATGAGAGTACAGAAAGCTATTTGATTGCATGAAGTGTAGGCCATAAAATTGATTTTCTTTATATTTAATTCCAACTTATAATGAATTTATTGAAAAGACATTAAATAAGATTAATTTTTTTTTATATACATGCATTCGATCAAATAGTATGTATAAAATTTCTCTTATATTACTTTTAGTATAGTACATTTGTAAAAGATTACAATTATTTATCATTTACATTTAATATATACTACAATTAAATAACTTATATGTAGCTTATGTTATGATGATATATTTTGTTTGTCTTCTTACTTACGTTATATGCATTCTACATATTACAAGTTATATGGTGGAACTAATGACATGTTAAGCAGGCAAGATTTTCAATTGATGATTTTCATAAACGTATGAAATTTGTTTTGATTAAAAATAAAATTATTAGGATGAAGATAGGAAATTTTGCATAAATTAATAAATTGTAAAATGACGAATTGGTACATGTAATATATTTTTAATTGGAATGAAAAATAATTGATTTATTTATTCTTTTATCAGTGAGAAATCTTTGTGATCATTGTGATTCGTCTTCCCTGATTAACAGAAAATATATATAGTGTATTATATTTATATTGAGGATATTTATTTATATATAGAGGATATTATATATATAAGTACTATATATTGCATAATTTGTTTTTGTTTTTAAATGTCTCGTTTTAATCATGGCGCGTTAAAAATGCGCAAGTATACGAGCGCCATCTATTTATCATTCTGGAAAGAATGTCCGTCATTCTCTGTACGGATAAAGTTAGTTCTTCTATCATTCGTATACGTTTTATATAAAAATTATGATGGCAAGCAAAGGATGGAAGGTTAGTATTTAGATATATTCTTCTTTAACTGAAATAATGAATGACAGAACATAATAAACATGCAAGATGGTCAATTAAGTAGAAATTTTTGGCCAAATTTTGGCCGTAAAATTCTTCCCTTTTAGGTCGTACGACCCCATGTGCCACTGATAAAGTTTCGTAAAGGAGGTTTAAATAGAGGTAACACGAAGAGAATTGTTATGTATACTCTTAAATAATGAAGTGAAATTGTCGTTATTGGTTAGTAAACGTAGGTGCGAGCGCGGCTCCATCTGCGGCTTCAGGGACGGCATCAGCTACTGGACGTGCAACTGGACCCCAGGTAATTGTTTTGCCAACTATAGATGATATTCATCTACCATCAAGATTTCATCGGCGACCTATCGACGAGAAAGAAATTGAGTATATTAATGTAAGTCTCGTGATTTACCTGCAAATAACAAAATAAATTTCATACATAAATGTTACATAAACTTGTTCAAGTTACGTAAGATTATTTTTAATGATTATTTTTTCCTTTTCTATCAAAACAAATTCTACAATGAAAACTAAAAATACTTTATACGTGAAACGAGGAATTTCTATTTTCGTAGTTTAATGATCATTCTTTTTTTTTTTTCTTCTTTTTTCAGCGTGGCGGACCGGAATAATCGTATTTAAAAATTGATTAGGAAAGCGTTTAAATTTTAGATCACCGTTCGTTGTTCATTTTCGTAAATTGACTTTTGTTTGATATACGGTATTGTCTAAATAAATGAACGTAATAGAAAATTAATGAATCATAAAAAAGGATGTAGAATTTCTCTTAGCCATCTATCGGACAAGGTCTCCTCACAATACACATTTATGTGACATTGCCAGGACCTGCTATTTCTAGAATATCTTTCGCTTCATTGCTGTACCGACTAATGCTTGTTACTCAGTCGAAGCGAAAGTACTAACCACAAAAGCGTATTTTGGCGTCTAAATATATGTAATTTATTCAATGTAATAATCAATAAAATCAATCAAAAAATAAATTCGCATTGAGAACATATTTTCCCAATGAACAAGAATAAATGAAACGAATGAAAATAAATTTGGAATATTGAATTTGTCGTTACTCGTGAAATATAAATTGGATCAAAAAAATTTTTTTTTTTCTTTTTTCTAAATTCAACGAAAAATCATATAACATATAAAAGCTTCGGTATGGTCGATATCGGACGGTACGATCGGTAAAAGAAAAAATATTTTTTATTTGAAAATGTGATTACGTCAGAATGTTCGTTTTGAAGCAGGTGCCTAAGTTTATCGATGCTTCCCTATACCATGACAGAAATAGCAGACGACAGTGCGCTCGGCTGCGCAGCGAACGACGACGACGACGACAACGTCCATCCATCCGCAAACAAGTACTGGATGTGATTAACGGAGGTTCATAATCGTGTCATAGTTTATCGAAATCGCGAAATTAATATACACGAACGACGTAATCGATACGACGTAAAAATGTCTGAGATAACAGATTTTGGCCCGAGAAAAACGATTTTTATATTGGCTATTGTGGCTGGATGCTTTGCGGTATTGTGGCCAAAAATCTTTTATCCCATGCTCACAGCTTCTGTCAATTCACATCATTCGTCTTCTGATGGTAAGTTCATAAATAAAAATTCAAATGATATGTTAATGAAAATTAATCTATCATCGCGAAACGATATTTCTATGTTATTGCACGTGTAAGATCTTTTTATGATTAGATAAATATTATTATATCATACTTCGTATCGTGTTAGACATTATGAAACGAATGATTTTAAATATGTAGTTAAGAAAATTCTTCCCATGTTGTATACCGAATGAATATTTATTAGCATGCTGTGAAGTATTATTCGAAAGCGATGTTACTGCTTTGGACATTATGCAAGAAATGTGTCAAAATATATTGAGACATCATCAAGTTGATCCACGAGTGAAAGATGCCTTTAAAACTAGCAAAATGGCACCACAAATTGCTAATTTATGTAAGGATGAAGTTTTGGCAAGATGTGGGATAGATTTGTCAATCTTTCTGGCGGAAAAGGAACGTCTTGGAAAAACTTCTAAACAAGTTTTGGAAGAAATTAGATCATTCAATAGTTCTATATGCCTTAAAATGAATTTTGGTATACCGTTATCACAGTTGGGAATACCACATCTTATAAGATATCACATCTTAATGCCCCATAGTAATTATAAATATTTTTCAATGATTTTACTAACATTATTTCTTAAGAAGTAACTAATTCATTAATTGGATTGAGTTATAAAAATAAATGATTAACAAAATTTTTTAATAATTTTTATAATTTTGAGAAATAACAAAATATATCGTAATTGTATTAAACACTATTCAGGATGAAATAGAATGTATATGCATGTCTATAATGTTACTCATGTTATATATATGGATCATCGGATATATATGGAAGACAGACTTAAATCATTTATCCTTCTTTGGCATTTTGCCAGAAAAACAAGCATGATGGTTAGGGTACAAGGCTTGGATTGCTATAATAGTTTCAAATACATTTATATGATGACCTCTTCCTGGATTCTAATATGTTACAAAGTAATATATTATTATTTTTGTTTTATATTACTAATAATTATAATGATATAATATAGGATTATTTGATTTTATTATTTGATTATATGTTTGTGAGTGTGTAAACATCTAATTACATTTGTAAAAATTCGAATTAATGTATGGTTAATATATTAATGATAATGAAAAAAATAAAAATATTTATTTTAATTTAGTTACTCTAAGGCAAGAAAGACGTACTCCACCTCATGCAGGAGGTCTTCATCCAGCATTAAGGGAACGTGGAAGAACTATACCTATTTCGCACATTGTACCAAAAATAGTAGACAGACCTGATCATGTAATGCCAAAAATGAGACCACCTATGGGAGGTGCTGGTCATGTAGTACCAGCACCAAAAGGAAATGGAACTATGGGAGTTATTATGCCCCTCTATACATTAGGCATTGTGTTGTTCTTTTTGTATACTATTGTTAAGGTAATATTTATTTTTCTTTTCATTAAAAATAATGATAAACCAATATATTCTTATTTAAAGTATCTTTTGATTTTAAAACATTTTAGGTATTGAGGAAGAACTCTGATAGTGAGATTATCTCAGAATATCCAGGAGCAGCTGCTGAGAAAGAATTTCGAAAAATGGTATTTAATCCAGATTTACTTGCTAGCGCAATGACAGGAGGTACAATGCATTATCAAAAAGAACAATCCCCATATAAACCTGCACCAACTATAGAGGAATTGAATAATCGTAAGTTTTTCATTTTTTTATGAAGATGCTAATCATTTTGCATTATTATTATTGTACCATTTTCCTCTGAAAGCTAATTTCTTTGAAAGGATAATTAGAGTTAAGGTATATGTTTCCTTGGGTATCTAAAAAGAATTTTAAATGGTGTTGCATGATGCAAGGTTTGCACAATTAGAACACACGCGTATTTTATACAATAGGTATAATTGCAAAATATAATTTGAAACACTTGAAATTATTGTAAGTACGTGTATTTACTCTCTGAACCGATTTGATAATGTTCTACATGCTGGAACACAAGAAGCGGCAGGAGACATAGAGATAGATCAGCTGAGACGTCGTTTGGACGAGACGGAAGCAGCCATGGAAAGAATTGTTGTTCAGATGGGCAACATATCACGTTCAGTGATGCATAGCCCAAGCTCACAGCCAGAAATCAAGGTTTAATAGATTAATTTTGAAGCAAATTACATTTACAGTTTCCTAGTCCTTAGAAATGTGCACGTTGCTGTGTTCTGATTGCGTTTCAAGCTTTACCCATCCCAATGTGCGTTATAAACTTCGTAAATTTAATATAAAACTTTATATTCAGTATATAGCTTTTGATAAATATAAATGAGTGTGGATAACAGTTGTCAAAATTATCAAATAGTCAATTGGACATTTAAGTTCTATTAAAATATATATTTATATTTAAAAAAAATTGAGTGTAATTTCTATTATAAATATCGTAATGTAAGACGAATAGGGTAAATAAATTTATAGTGTATCTTTTTACCTTTTGAGTAGTAGATGGGGCTCCAAAGTCCAATGGCCTGGCAGGGGTCAATCACTGTTCTAAGGTATATCACTTACTGCCATGATGATTCCTAACATGAGTAACCAAGAGTTTGTGAAAAAATTGTTGTTCCTTTGCATATTTTACCTGTAATAAGAATATGATCTTATTAAAAATTGTTTAGGCTTCAATATATCTTTAATCCTTGTTTAATGTTTGATATACAAAGTAGATTACATTGTATTTTCTCCTTAAATTGCACTCGAATAAAATTAGTGATATCATAGTTCTTAATTGATTTTTCATAGTTAAAATGTAATTACAATAGTAGTATATAATCTGTCGAATAAAATGTCGAAAAATAACTACTACTAAACATGTGTTGTGCATGATGATTGTTTATATTTTTATCAAAGGTAATATAAAATATTAAATTGTTATTATGTGCGTTCTTAAGAACTGATGATATATTAATTATTTATTTTTCTATCTTATATTCTAGCACAATATCCAAGCGTTAGTGGTTTGAATTAAGCGAACAAAGCTGAAAAACCCATAGATGATATGGCTTTTCTAATAGTAGGAAATAACATTACAGATGTAACAGTAGAATGCTGTACTATATAGGCTTTCTCTTTATAGATATTCACAAATGTGTTTTTATCAAATGTGTTATATGATAAAATGATTATATTTGTAATATTAAACTTGCAATTTATAGGAAGACTCCACTGTCCAGGAAACTTATAGTACTGAAGATCAAGAAGTAGAAACCATAGAACAATCACCAACAGTTAAAGTAATGGGTATGGAAATGACTGCCAGCTGTGAAGGTGGACAAAAATGTAGTAGACCTACCACCCCCATAATACCCCCACCCCATAGGTATTATATTTTATTTTAATAAGATAATTTACGAGTATTCAGCACAATTGAGATTCTTTTTTTTTATAATTACAGTCAAACTGAGAGGGAGAAGACACCACCAGTACCAATCTATTTAGAAGGCGCTTTACCTCCACAATGTGAATTACTTGTAACGGATTCAGAAACTCAAGAACAAAAAGCAGAGGAAAGTGCTGAAGCGCCCGTAATTCTCTCAGGCAAAATGACACTCTCTCTCATCAGTCTCGACCAGATTGCAGCTGTAAGAAAATATTAGAATTCAGCAGAATCAAATGAAACTGCGGAGCCTTGTTTTATTTGGTGATTCTTTTACTTATTTTATTGTTTGCCTAACTTTTTTAAGTTATTTTAACATAATCATGCTTGGATAACGCAGAAATTGAGTGTTATATGTAGCAAATTATTAAATACAAATTTGCTTCGTTTGTTGTAAATTAAAAATTTTCTGGTGGATGTTTTCTAATCTAATTGTTTCTATCATATATACACAATTTTTGTGATTTTTTTCAGATAATGTGTGGGCTCTAAGTTTTTAACAGCTTATTTATTTGTAATTTATTTTAATTGTATTTTTAGTTAGCAGCGTTTGCTTTTTTCACTAACCACGTTGGCTATTTTCAAATTTTGTATTACATTATCAAATATTATGTCATTACTAATAACATTTGTTCTATTAGGAATCTGAAGATGAAAATGAAGTGATGGAAGAAGCAGAAAGTACTTCCATTATAAGATCAATGAACGAAAATGAACGTGAAGTAAAAGAGCAAGCAATAACGATGAGTAATGAGGAACAATTGAATGATTTAGAGAAAGAATTACAATTTAAAACACAGTTATACAGCTCTGATGAAGATGAAGGCGAGGAAGAAGAAGAGGAAGAGGAAGAGGAAAATGAAGATGAAGATGAAGATGAAGATGAAGATGAAGATGAAGCAGAAGTAGAAGCAGTAAAAGAAAAGAAAGAAGAAAAAGAAGAAGGAGAGAACGAAAAGGAAGAAAAAAATGAAGAAAAAGAAGTGAAGATTGATAAAGCAAAGAACAAAGAGATGGGCAAAGAAGATGAAGATGAAGATGAAGATGAAGATGAAGATGAAGATGAAGATGAAGAGGAAGTGGAATTGGAAGAGGAAGAGGAGGAGGAGGAGGTAGAATCGGATGAGGAAGAGGAGGAGGAGGAAATGGAGTTGGAAGGGGAGGAAGAAGAAGAGGAGGAAGAGGAGGAGGAGGAGGAAGAGGAGGAAGAGGAGGAAGAGGAGGAGGACGAGGAAGAGGAGGAAGAGGAGGAAGAGAGGGAGGGAGAGGAAGAGGAGGATGAATATGAGTATGGTTATGAATATGAAGATGAAATTGAGTTTGAAGAAGAGGCAACGGGAGGAACGTCATATTGCCTACGAGAATTACTATCCGATTCTTGATCCATTTAATAAGGACATTTTGTGTTCTTAAGTTTAAATAAAGAAAAAAACAATGCTTTTAAGATAAATGATTTTTTCTTTAAAATTAATCTCTGTTATCTAAGAAAAATACCTATATCTTACTTAATCGATTTACTGTTATGGTTGTAAAAAATAGATTTGAAATAAATTAAGTTTTTTATGATAAAAGAATGAATGTATCATTCTTGCAAGTGATCTTACAAGATGTAACGTTTAAATGGAAAAATATAATAATAAACAGTTCTTATTTGTTTTCAATGAATATTTTGAAGATAATTCTTCACCGTTGATATCGTCGAACCGCAGTATATGATTGGCTACTTAATTGTGGTAACCACGTGATTATGAATCCTTTCTTTTGTAAAGAAATATTTCAAATGTTTTATATACAACAAAGAAGTTAATTACATGATCGTTTTAAACATTGATAGGATTAAAATATTTATTTTTTTAATCCTGCGTATCGTTGTTTTATTATAATTATATAGAACGCATACCAACCAGTTAAAATAACTTTTAAAATAACTTTTAGATAAATCAAACGTTTGTCTATAATCGGTTATATAGTTTTTAATTACATTTTTAAATAAATATAATATTATTTGAAAATTATATTAAAAGTAATCTCGATTAATAATATTGATATGTCATTCAATATTACATTACTTTTAGTTTTTTTTCTTTTCCCTATTTTTCAATACTTATTTGGCTCCCCTGATTGTAACCTTTTTGGATATCAATGGATCTTCTTTTCGTACATATTTGACATGAATACAAGTCTAAGAAAATTTTGGTTGAAATATAACATATAGGCAATATTAAGTCATTTTTGAATAATATATATTATACAAAGAAATTTTAATATAATAAAAATATTAAACTTGAAATAAGACTATTTAATCTAGTATATATGTATGTATGTATAACCTAAATAACAACTTATACGTTTTATTATAATTGATGAATAAGTTTATTTAGATATGTGACATTTCTTTTCTTTTATTTCATTAGAGTGATACATGAGAATACCACATTTTTTACGCAGTGTCCTAATAGGCATCCCTGTTGGGATTACCTTCTTGGACACAGTAGGATATGTGGCAAAAGTGGAAGGAATATCTATGCAACCAGCCTTAAATCCAGATTTAAATAATCCAGATTATGTTTTTCTAAATCGTTGGGCTGTACGTGGTCATGATATTCAACGAGGTGAAATAGTATCTGTGATATCTCCTAAAGCACCAAGTCAAACATTAATTAAACGAGTTGTAGGAGTTGCAGGTGATATTTTACATACACGTGGATATAAAGTTGATTATCTTCAGGTTTGCATTAAACTTATTATTGTTGTAAAAAAATTCATATTTAATATTTTGGTTTATTGTAATAAACTTTAAACATTGAATGCTCTTATAGGTTCCAGATGGACATTGTTGGTTGGAAGGTGATCACACAGGTCGTTCAATGGATTCAAATACTTTTGGACCAGTTTCCCTTGGTTTAATTACAGCAAAGGCTACTTGCATAGTCTGGCCACCTAATCGTTGGCAATATTTAGAAGTTTTTATACCAAATCAATGTACAATATTGAATTCTAGAAGAAGTTAATAAAAGTGTAATATAAATATGAGGGCTGTCAGTTTCGTTAAAAGATTACAGTGGGAATTACCAGGTACTATATGTAGACATGGACTAACAATAGGAGATGTCGATAATGATGGAGATAATGAATTAGTAGTAGGCACAGCAGAAGGAGAACTTTATATTTTTAAAGTAAGTATAATCTTATATATCATATACTATCAACATAATTATATCCAATAATGTCTAATTTGTTAATTATTATTTAGGGATCTGAATTATGGCAGAAAATAACTGGCCTTGGACTTGTAACTAGTGTAGCTATAGGTGATATTTTCAATTATGGAAGAAATGCATTGGTTGTTATTTGTGGAGATGGCTGGGCACATATTTTTTATAGTCCAAGATCTGTTAATCCTAGTAATGTACCATCTTTATTAACACAATTACATAAAGAAGATGAACAAGACAATCTTAAGACTCTTACAGGTATGTTCATAATATTATTATATAATTAAAATTAAAAATATTTATTAAATCTGATATTTATTATTTCCTCTAAACATAGATATTAGTACGATTATTAATATGACAAGTTCACCAAGTTCAGAACACGTAGATAATATTAGCGAAATAAACGAATTGTCTGGAAAAATGGAATGTGTACATGTACAAAGAATACCAACAAATACAAAGGTAGTGTTGGTAGCTGATATTGATAAAGATGGTGCAAATGAAATGATACTTGGATTAACAGATCGTGTTGTCAGATCATATAGGTGGTCCAGTAGTACAGATTTTGGGACTGGAAGACTAGTTGGTTTAAATAAATGGGAATGTGCTAATCAAATTGGAACAGTTACACTACAGGTTTAAAAAATATAATGTTTATTAAAAGATGATAATATATGTAAAATGTTTATATATGAATTTTAAAATTCAAAATGTTATAATATTACAGCATTCAAAAGATGGAACTCCAACATTGTTAGTTGCCCAACCAGGTGGTACATTTATGCGAATTAAGTGCAACGCAGAAGACAATAGATTAGAAAATGAATCCTGCGAAGGAGATAGCGAAGTAGCCGCGAGTTGTGTCGATTATCAAACTTTAGGAATATCTAGAATGCGTAATCAAAATATATCTACTGAAATTATAGGAGATCTCGAATCAGGAATGATATCTTTGATGGCATCATTGGAATCTAAGGTACCAAAGAATATACAACAGGATACTCCAGCTAAACAATCTTTTATCGATGACAGTCAGTCAAGTTTAAGAAATATAAAGTCTTTGTTAGTTGAAACTAAATCAAATCATTTTCAATCAGAATTCAGAGCGGGCAATGTAGATACTGCAGGTAATTACAATAACTTTTAAATATTTTGAAAATTTATATAATTATTAACACGTTTGATTCCTTTAGGTGTGGATCAAGTGGACGGTAATCTTGTGGGTGGTAACGTTATTCTTGGAGAATTTGACTCTAAGCCGAAGAAAGATTTGCCGTTACCGACATACGAAGATTTTTCTTATAATAATAATAATAATAATAATAATAATAATAATAATAATAATAATAATAGTAATAATAGTAATAAAAACAATAACAACACCAACAACAATAATAATACAGAAGTACAAAATGAAAACAATAAGGATGAGGAATTAGATGAATCTAAAGAAAATTCTTTAAAAGGAAAGCCATATGCTTTAGCCACTTTGGACGGTACTATAATGTTAGTGAAGGATGAAAATATATTATGGTGAGTAAAATATTTTTTAGTACGACAAAACAAATAGTTCAAAAATTATCTATTAGTAGAATATATTTTTTTATTATTATAGGGCAATGCAAGTGGATCATCAGATATTTGCTCTTTGTCGTTTGGACGTGACCAACGATGGTTCCGATGAAATAATCGCGTGCGCCTGGGACGGCCAAACATATATCTTAGATCAACAAAGAAATAGCGTACGTTTTCAATTCGAAGAACCAGTTAGAGCATTTTGTACAGGTTATTACAATGTTGTACAACGTACTCCTACACCTTGTCTCGTCTACAATACTTTTAATAACAAAGTACGTAGCCGAATCACATTGTCACGTGAATATCTGACACTTCGTGTAATTTCTAATCTCTTATACAGATATTCCTTTACTACGATGTGACGCTTCCAAATATGGTCATTAGTCCATTGAATCCTATTGTAGATTTGGATGAAAAAGAACGGAAAATTTTGGATGAAATATTAAACGAATCGGATGAAACTGAGAAACAACGTCGAATGCAGCAACTAACGGAATGGTTATTATATGGAATGCATTAGAAAATGAATAATGATAGAAGAACAAAAAAAAAAGAAAATATATAAACTATATATATTCTTATTAAAATTTTTCTTTCCCTTGTTATCTTTATTTATCTTCCTGCAGGTTATCGTGCGACAAGTTATCTTCTAATCGATATTTGCATTACGTTAAGAGTACAATTCTTTTTTTTCCATCGCAACCGACAGGGATGTATTCTTTTTCATTCGGCAAAGATTAATTCTTGGCATTGATATTTATCGGTCCGTTCGTCGTCTCCGTCTCTTATCATGGAGTAATATACAATCCACAAAACTCTTTAATTGTTTTTTGGGCAAACAGTAGTCGCGACAGCTTAGGTCATGAAGAAGTATACCGAAACGACGAAAAATGTCCATTTTAAATGTTCACGCCTATTTGCAAATCTTCATGAATTTCATCGTTTTATCTAACTGTTATAAATCAAGGCTGATGTTATGTACAATATCAGTAAGGCATATAGAATCAAATGGCACGTCGCTATTGTCAGTAAGCATGAAGATTTCACAAAGAGTACTTTTCCAAGCTTGAATAAGATTGGCTTCTTTGATGTATATCAATGTGACGATTTCTTAAAATTAGTCATTAACTCGTAGGCGGTCAAGCTTGAAAAAATTATTTGACAAGTTAATAGAAAAAAAAAAGAAAAAATAAAAAGAAAGTGTTCGGTGAAAGTCACATATAAGTCTAATATATTTGTTCGTTCTTCGGTGATTCGATAGAGTCAACAAAAATCTATACGATGGATAATAATGTAACATCTACTCTAATCGGTCACAAATTGGAATACCTCACTTTCGGATGGACCGATTATATGCTGTTCGTTTCTCTGTTAGGTGTGAGCATAATCATTGGCGTTTATTTCGGTTTCTTCAAAAAGCAAGACAATACCACCGAGTATTTACTTGGTGGCAAAACTATGTCTTTTTTTCCAATCAGCATGAGTTTAATCGCGAGGTAAGAAAGATCTTGTTTTTTTTCTTTTTTTTTTTTTTTTTAGAAGAGAATTTTTCTTTTCTTTTTCCTTTCTTTTTTTTCTTTTTTACGATTAATTTAATTACGGACGTTTCTTTGTAATTTGATTTTTTTTTACTGACACCTAGACGACGGATCAAATTCAAATTGAATTAAATTTATAATAAAATTAACGAAAAAAGTAAAAAAAAAAAGAAAAATAAACGAGAAAAATTATTTTATGTTTTTTCAGTCACATATCCGGCGTATCGTTGCTCGGCGTGCCCTCGGAGGTATATCAATATGGCAGCCAATATGCAGCGTGCATTTTCACGTCCTTTATAACTTGCACAATCATTGCTTACATCTATTTACCAGTTTTCTTTAAATTACAATTGACTAGTATATTTGAATATTTAGAGATTAGATTTGCACGACCGGTACGATTGCTTGCGTCCTTTTTGTATTGCTTGTCTCTCATTATCTACATTCCTTTGATCATTTATGTTCCCGCCTTAGCATTTTCTCAAGCAACCGCGATCAATTTACATCTGATTGCTCCTGTAATTTGCATCGTATGCATCTTTTACACGACTATAGTGAGTATATACGAGCTGTTATTGTAATATAATTAATTTAATTTAATTAACTTCAATTTTGAGCACGTGTATTATTTGCTGATTTTTTTACAGATAAAGATATTTCAATAATAAAACTGTTCAATTAATTACGGTCGCTCAATATGTTAGATAAACATGATTATATTAGAATAAGATCGTTGATCGTGAAATTATTAACGACTGATAAAAAACAGTTCGATTGTTTGGTCTATTTAAACTAGTTGATATTTTTTGGAATAACAAAATTTTGTTTACACGTTTATAGTATAATTTCGTATATTCAAAATATTTTAATTGTTTGTCATAGAGAAAGAAATTTTATTAATTATAAATTTTTATTATAACGAAAGTTTTGGTATAATTTTCTATAGGTACTAACAAAATGTAACACATTTATATTTTTACATATAATACTTTTATTAAATCCAACATTTTTTTAGTATAATTTTGTATACTAGAAAAGTGTAACATGTACACATACACACACACACACACACACAATACTTTTATTAAATCTTAAATCTTTTTATTATAATTTTGTATACTAAAAAAATTAATACATAAAAAAAATTTTATGTTAAATATTAAATCTTTTTTTAGAATCTATAAAAAATTAAAATGGTCGAAGAAGGAAAAAGAAAAAAGAGAAATAGTTACACGTTTTCAAAGAGCATAAAATCATTTTTTTCGGTCAATGTATTGAACGATAAAATTCGTCGTCATTAAAATAAGAACATCTCAAGAATGCTCGGAGATACATGTACTTTGATAAACATAATGCGCAAAAAGATGCACAGTTTCCGTGACGTTTCGTTTACAAACGTCATATATGAAGAATGACGTTATCAAAGATCGCAAATGTCGCAATGTCTTTGATAATAAACGAGTCCGTGGAAAAATATGATGGATCGTTGGGCAAACGCGAATTTAATTTTTTTTGTTCTCTCTCTCTCTTTCTTTTTTTTATTACTTACACCTACATCGTTACTATTATCATTATTGTATTAGAATTAGCTGTCATGAACTCTTATCAGAAAGAGAACATCTATTATTGAACGTTTACAACGTGGAATTGTGCTTGTTCCGCGTATTAAGTGTACAATGTAACGGAGATAATGTTTACACGACCATAATACGATTGGCGTGTATGTTTACAGAAATACACGTCAAAATTTACAAGGAAGATTCTTTTATCTTCCATTAAAATTTTCTCCCACG